AAAAAAATCCCTAGAAGGGCTATTTACTTTTCCACTCTTTCAATAATAAAAGTTTAAATCCCTTAAACCTCATTTAATTCCACTGATTAGTTAACTTGAAGAAAATGTTTTTCTGCATGAGTCAAGTTCATCAGCCAAATTGCTATTGGTGAGGATGGCAGTGCTTCGAGGACTAATATGCAGGCATAGAGTGGAGCTGGTGACCCATGTGAGTGATGGGGTTATGTCAGGCCATCCCATCAAAAGATTCAGCTCTGCCTAATGCCACACTACCACTTTAGAAGGAAGAAGCAAGAAGAAAGAGAAACAGTCTTTGATGACAGAGTCAAGGGCTTCCATCATAGCACAACAAATGGCAGTCTCCTCACTTAAAGAGTCCATAGACCCAGGGTGACAAGCTGTGCCAGTGGGCAGAATGGAGGGCAGTGCAGGGAGTTCCCGGTGGGTGCATTACAGAAGGTTCAAAAGGAGGCTCTGTGCTGGCTGGGGAGGCAACCGGGCTCCTAGGGTATGAGACTGGGAGCTCATTCATGTGACATTGTATCTGATTCATCCTTTCTGCCTGGACCTCTAGCTGAGCTGGTTCCTGGCTGGGGGACACATTTTGGGATCTCTTAGGATATACGGCTCAGTGCATATGGATGGCCTCACCACAGTCACTGGGAAATTCAGGAGGGCCCAGGGTTGCTGATGCCTGGAATCCAGCACACAGATCTTTGTCAGCAGGTGGCTATTTAAGAATAATCCAAACTCCTTGGGCTGGGAGTCCACAAGGAGGAAGAGGCTGCAGCTGCCACAGTGCAGGCCACATCTGTGGGTCTAGCTAGGTTCTCAGCCCCGGTGGTAGCTCCAAGTGGTAGGGCTTTCTAGTGCCTTGTTAATAACAACTCCCAGCTTGCGAACACACCATGAGACCTTGTTGATTTGAAGACACACATCTTCTCCACACTTTAATTTCTCTGAAAGGGGGATCTATCTTGCAGCCAATGTGATAAGAAAGCATTATGCAGTTTAACAGCATATTTTTTCTTTCTGAAGAATACATAAACATCCATCTTACTAGCCATGGCATCTCAGATTAGACTAAATAAGGTATTTGCCAGGAAAGATACAGTTTCATTTATCCTCCAATAACCCCATGAAGTAAGATTATTACCCCATGGGTGGGATAAAGAACAGAGAGGCTAACACATTTGCCCCAAGTCACACAGCTGATAGGGTGAAGAGTCCAGGTCTGCTGATTTCAAAGTCCCAAGCTCTTGCCTCTGGACCACACAGCCTCCCTTGGTGGAAGCCTGCTCTGGCTAGGGCTGCCTCCATCCATTCCATCCAAAGGTTCTCTACTTGGTTAGAAGAGCACTAGTGCCTCTGTGACCTGGGGGTGACAGGGCCTAGGGTTAGGCACAACCACAGCAGGCAAAGGCAAAGGCCTTCAGCAGCAGGGTGGGGCTGGGAAGGTCATGACTCAAGAACAATAGGCTCTTAACTGCAACAATATCTTTCCATAACAGCTCCTTCTTGACTGTGGCTTGGGGAAGTCATAACCTCAAGTGTGAGTAGATGGGGGAAGAGCTGGGCAGATGAATACGCTTCTGGCAGGCATCATACCTCCATCCCCCCGTGAGCAGGCGCCCTTCAGATGGTGTCCAGACAAGCACAGGGACCTGTCTCCTACCACCTCAGGAGGTGCCCTCAGGAAGGGGCCACTCGGGTCTGCCCGCCAGCTGCAGGCAAAACCAACCCTGGAGCCCCTCGGCCCGCCTCTCCCCACCTTCCCACACATACGTGGCCAGGCCAGTTGGCTCTTAAGGTCCCACAGTAGGGTCCTCGAGTTCCAAGGCCATTTCTTCCGAATGGAAGGCGCCTGGCTTACTCATCCTTCTCATCTCTGCTGAAATGCCACTTCACTGATTCCTCAGACTGGCTTCCACGCCCCACGACGTGCTCTCCAACCACCCCCAGACTCCATGTCTGTGCAATTCGCTGTTATGTGTGGGGCTCTCTGTATAAACCACAAGCTCGCTGAGGGCAGGAACCGTATCTCCTTGTGAAGCACGGTGTCCCAAGGCTAGTCCCAGGCCGGGCACGCAGCAGGTGCTCTTGACCCATGCCTCCTGCCCCAGCTCCCTACCTGGGTTCTCATGATAAAACATTAGGCACCCTTCTGTTCAGGGATCCAAGCTTGCTTGATTATGGAGATGTGGGCCTGAGCCTTTGTATGAGTCTGGGAGGCTGAGCACACTTTGCTCTCTGTCAACCGACAGGGGCTGAGCTGGCTCTGCTCCACACCTCTGCTTCTCCCAGATGAAAACCAGTTCCTTCTTCCTAGCATGCAAAGGGTACCAAGTTAGACTCAGAAAGGTGGGAAATTTCCTGAAGATCCGGATCCTAAAGGTCTTCCATTTTATACCGTAGGGCCTTTGTGCTCATTTCAAATTCAAGACTCTAAAACCCAGTAGGCGGTGATAATAGGCTCAACTCTTTCTTATTTAATTTTTATTTTGCTTTTTTTTCTTTTTAAAGCGATAGGGTCTCATCATGTTGCTCTGAAGTGACTTAAACAGCAGCAAATCTGAAAACCTAGAAAGGGCTTATCAAACAATATAGAAGTGGGGTCTTAGACAAACCAAATGAAAACTCAAACTCCTGGGCAAGGGCAATGCTCCTGCCTCGGCCTCACAAAGTGCTAGGATTACAGGCATGAGCCACCATGCCTGGCCCCCAACTCTTCCTTATTTTATATTTTTTCAGAAACAGGTCTCACTCTGCTGCCCCGGCTGTAGTGCAGTGGGTCCTCACAGGCATGATCCCACTATAATCAGCATGGAATTTTATGCCGCTTCATTTCCATCCTGGTCCTGTGTACCTCTCCTTAGGCAACTTGATGTTCTGCCACTCCCAGGAGGTCACCATACTGATGCCGAATTTAGTGGGAATACCCAACCTGCAAAGCCCAGAGTTCCTGGGCTCAAGCTTTCCTCCTGCATCAGCCTCGTGAGTAGCTGGGGCTGCAGGTGTGTGCCACCATGCCCCACTAATGCTTATTATTATTATATTATTTTTGTGAGATGGAATCTCACTCTGTTGCCCAGGCTGCAGTGCAGTGCCATGATCTTGGTTCACTGCAACCTCTGCCTCCCAGGTTCAAGCAATTCTCCTGCCTCAGCCTCCCAAGTGGCTGGGATTATGGGAATGTGCTGCAGCACCCAGCTGATTTTTGAACTTTTAGTAGAGACTGGGTTTCAACCATGTTGCCCAGGCTGGTCTTGAACTCCTGACCTCAGGTGATCCACCTGCCTCAGCCTCCCAAAGTGCTGGGATTACAGGTGTGAGCCACCATACCCAGCCTAATATTTATTATTTTTTGTAGAGATGGGATCTCACTATGTGGCCTAGGCTGGCTCATAAACTCCTGGCCTCAAGCAATCCTCCTGCTTCAGTCTCCTGAGTCACTGGGATTACAGGCTAAGTTGGGGCACCACTGCAACCAGCTCAACTCTCCATCTTTCAGGTTTGATTTCACCATTTAAAACTACCTACTTGAAGTTTCTTTTGATACAAAGCATAAACACCAAGTAAAATTATTTGTTAAAGGAAGACTTAAGTAATTATCTTGTAGTCAACCAGGAAATAATTATCACTGATTTTTAAAATCACACTCTTAAATATAGATATATTTAGTTTAGACTCTACCTTTTTCTATCAACTGGTACATTCCCATATACCATACTGTTTTAGTTACTGTAGCTTTGTGTTACATTCTGACAGTTGGTCTTTTCTCATTTATCTTTTTAAAGACATTTTCTCATTTATTCGCACCTGTTTCTTCTTCCATGGGTAAGTTTTAGAAACATCTGGCCAATTTTTAAAAATTATAATAGGATTTTACTTTAAATTCTGTTAAGCCTAAAAAATTCATTTGAGAATTAACATCATGGCCATTTTTAATATTCTCCTGGCATCTTTTTCTATTTCATAAAGTTCCTCAAAATAGCTTTACCTGCCCTTGTTATTTCCTCAGACAAGTGGATACAATTCTTTGTCAGACCACAAAAAAGTTTTATAAATTTAAAATTAAGCCAGAAGTGATTTAAACAGCAGCAAATCTGAAAATACAGAAAGGGCTTATCAAACAATATAGAAGTGGGACTCTTAGACAAACCAAATGAAAACCCATTAATACTAGACAGCTCATGTGCCTGAATGGAATTTTACCATTAACTACCATTTATCCAATTTAATTAGTATTTTCCTGACACACAATAACTTGCACTAAAATACCGTTCTCTCGCCTTCAAATTTCTAATTATTGTTGCGACCTACACATTACGCATCTCCACTGCTTTCTCCATCTTTCATGCCATTTAAGCAGTAAGATTTTCAATTATCTACGCAGGATGGACAGAGATACCTTTAAGGAAAGGGGCATAATATGCAACTCAATTTCTCTAAAAGCCAGGAGAAATCATTTTTAGTCAGAACAAACACACTTTGTCTTTCATCATTTTTTTTTTTTTTGCAAATAAAGAGTAAAACAGGCTATTTAAAACATCCATTTAAATGCAAATTTTGATATCCCAAGAGAAAAATGTTAATCATTTAAATAGACAGGATTATCGCCCACCCTTACCACCTTACCACTTCCCTCCTCTCCCAAGTTTTACAAAATGTAGCCTTAGCCCACACAAGTTAAGGCAGCCAGGAGTCCTTACATCTTAAGAACTCCCACTCAGACAAGAGGGCTGAGGCAGAGAGGGGACTTTTCCTTCTTTTGAGGAAACAGAGATAATAGTATAACATATCCTATAAGCCAGGCATGGGACAAGATTATAAATACACATGTGCATGCGCACACACATAATCATCACAACTGTCTTGGAAGGGAAACTGAGGCTTAGACAGGTGAAGCAATTCGCCCCACTGGTAGATGACCCAACCGAGAGTAGAGACCTCCACAGCCCTCCCAGTCCACAGTGACTTGCGGTCCTGTCCAGACTCACCTAGCATCCCCATGCCAAGCATGAACGCGTCCATGGTATAAGGCAGTCCCCGGGCCCGGCCTCTTGTCCCAGGTGGGAACATGACTTCTTTCGGCTGAGCTTTCTTACATTCTACCTGTTAAACAGAAAGTCGAACAAATGAGATGCAAATGAATTCCACGTAAATGTCAAATGCAGAACCGAGCTGGTTACGAGCTACGTTATTTTTAGCCTTGCTCCTTACCCACTGTAAAAATAGCCATGCCAAGTAAATGGCCTGCAAAATAAATACTTAAGAAAACACGCCACTTGTGCAAATCCTGCTTCGGAAAAAACTACAAGGATGAAATTGGGTTCTGGAGGGGCGGCAAGGACGTAAAGCCGAAGATACACACAGTGCAGCTCAGGCTGACTCGCGTGCAGAAAGCACGACAGATGAGGAGGCAGACAATGGCTATTGGGTGCGTCCGTGAATAATAATAACAGCAATAATAATAATCCCTCAGGATTTTTCAGCCCTTTGCACATTTACAAATGCCCCTGATGTTCTTTCAGACCAGTGACTCTTCGTGCCAGGGTATCTGATTCTAACTCTTATTAAAGAGACGGGCCACTTAGCCTTCGCTGCAGTTCACAGATGAGAAAACAGGAAATCAGAAGTCTTGTGTTGGCCGGGCAGAGGGGATCATGTCCGTAATCTCAGCACTTTGGAAGGTGGAGGCAGGTGGATCAGCTTGAGCCCAGGAGTTTGAGACCAGCCTGGGGAACATGGTAAAACCCGTCTTTACTAAAAAACTACAAAAAACTAGGCAGTGCGGTGGTGCACACCTATAGTCCCAGCTACCTGGAAGGCTGAGGTAGGGGGATCACCTGAGCCTGGGAGGTCAAGGCTGCAGTGAGCCATGATCACACCACTGGACTCCAGCCTAGGTGGCACAGTGAGATCCTGTCTAAAAGAAAAAAAAAATTCTGTGTAATATGCTGAATGAATGCCCTTCCCAACAGGTGCAGGACTACAAACCAGATCTTTAGAATTTCTAGGTCAGCAATGCCACATTTCCACAAAACCTATACTACCACACTCCTGCGGGAGGTAATAAGATTAAATACTGATTCTGTTCATCTGGATTACTAGTTTCTGATTCTGCAGCTACATTTTCAAGTGCTTGCTAATCTCCCCTTTCTGTTTCCCTTCTGACTCTAAAATTTCTTCATGCTAATCTGCTTGTATACTCAGAGGTCACTTATTTAATAACCTGAACTATGCAAAATACAAACCTCAGTGAATAAGTAAAACTGTGGTCCGTGGAAGTTCCTTCACTGTTATACCAGAGCGCCTTAGGTCTGTGCTTATTAGCACTTAGTTGCTTTTTGTTTATGGAGAAATTTAACAAGCATTGTTAGTTAGTAATCAATCCCACTGCTCAGGAAGATGGGATGTTGCAGGGGAAGGCATGGATGCTTTTAACAGTCAAAAGAAATGGCATGACAGCCTGATAGTGATGGAGAAAGGACAAGAATTAGGTATCTTATTTAAAGAGCAGTCTGGGCCATATGCTTTAGGAGCCAAAACTCTACATAGTTCAACAGCTGCTGAGGTATCACTGTAACACTGAAAATTACCATTGTTCACAGTGTGCCTGAGATAGCAAGAAAAAAGTTAAATTGTGTGCAAGATACATTGTTTAAAAAGGGACCTCTAGACTGGATGCAGTGACTCAGCTCATGCCTGTAATCCCAGCACTTTGGGAGGCTGAGGCAGGCAGATTGCTTGAGCCCAGGAGTTTGAGAGCGGCCTGGTCATCATGGCAAAACTCTGCCTCTACTAAAAATACAAAAAAATTAGCCAGGCATGGTGGCACACTCCTGTAATCTCAGCTACTTGGGAAACTGAGGCAGGAGAATGGCTTGAACCTGGGAGGCAGAGGTTGTAGTGAGCTGAGATCGTGCCACTGCACTCCAGCCTGGGTGACAGAGCAAGACTCTGTCTTAAAAAATAAATAAAATAAAAATAAAAAGGGACCTCTAAGGGTTATCCATTTTGGAGATACTCTCATCCCAAACACTTCAATCCAAAAATATTTTAGTGCTCAAGGTTAGGTAGATGCTTTAATGGCCTAGGATATAAGTCCCCTTTCTTTGAAGACACCAGATAACAGGTATTACTCTTGCTCTTTCAAGAATCATAACCACAAATGCCTTAAAAATGGACAAAATGGTTCAATATTCATGGCTAATATGCTTAATACAAAGAGTTCTAGAGATTAAAAGAGAGGAGCATCCCAAAAGAGGCATAGGTAAAAGACACGAGTTGACAATTCACGGACGGCTAATGAAGAACACATTCCCCAAGATGAAGCGTATTTTTTGCCCACAGATTGACAGTGATGAAAGCATTGTTTGATGTAGGAATTTCTAAGGGTATGGTGCGGAGGGGTGGAAATTGGCATGTATTTTTCTGGAGGGCAACCTGACACTATATCAAAAGCCATAAATTTATACATATACCTAGTAATCTTACCTCTAGGAATCTGCCCTAAAGGAATTAGAATGCTTCTACAAAAGGAAACACCTGAAATATTGAAGAATAGGGAGTTGGCCGAGTTTGGTTTATCCACACTGATTGAATGCTATGCAGCTATGAAAAAGTGTGTTGATAATAATTACACACTGGTACTGGGAAACACTCGGTCCCAGGCAAAGCAGGACGACTGGTCACTCTAACTGCAAGAAGGAAAAAAGCAAAGGACACTAACTTTTTGAAAAATAAGCAAGTGTGTATATCACATAGGGAAAAATGCTGAAGACATATTAAAGTGTCTTAGAATGACTTTGTTTTTTAATTTTCATCGTGCATTTTGCTATTTATTTTCCCAGCTTTCTGCTAAGAAACAGGGAGCATGTTTTCTTTTTTTCCTTTTCTTTTCTTTCATTTTTTTTTTTTTTTTTTTGAGACAGTTTTGCTCTTGTTGCCCAGGCTGGAGTGCAATGGGGCAATCTTGGCTCACTGCAACCTCTGCCTCCTGGGTTCAAGTGATTCTCCTGCCTCAGCCTCCTGAGTAGCTGGGATTACAGGCATGCACCACCATGCCCAGCTAATTTTTTTGTATTTTTAGCAGAGATGGGGTTTCTCCATGTTAGTCAGGCTGGTCTCAAACTCCTGACCTCAGGTGATCTGCCCACCTCAGCCTCCCAAAGTGCTGAAAATACAGGCATGAACTGCTGTGCCCAGCCAGCAGCAAGTTTTCATAAGATAATGCAATAGACTGTCACTGATAGGTCTATTAGAATATTGTATTTGCAAGCAGTAGGGGGGAAAGGTGATTAAAAACAACAAACTCACCCACATTGGGTCTTTTAGGGTTGTCTCCTAAGCCCGGAGGTGAAATCCGGCTTCAAGAACTCCAGAGGAGCAGATTGAGAAATTTCATTTGCTTGAACCTGCCCTGAGCCTGGGAAGATGGGCGTGTCTCCCACAGGCAGACAGATAATTACCCAAAGCCAACACCAGCAAGGGGAATAATACTGCTAACCAGCTCACTTACTAATGGCCCTATCGGTGACAATCTACTGCATTGTCTTATGAAAACCTGCTGCCTGTTCCTAGGCAACCTGATCAGCGGAAATCTCAGGTTTATACAATTTTCATTTAGGGAACATAAAGGTTAACTGACTGTAATGGGAGTGTTTTAAACAAACCCACCTACTCTTGCTCTCACTGAACAGGGCTGACAGCTCCGTTTAATTCTGCTCTGTCTTTGCCGGTGGTGTTTTGGGCAGCAATGACTGTTTGAGTGTCAACCACCTGCTGGGTTAATGGTTAGTGTTCCCCAAGTCCAGGGGCCATGGCACACACACTCTCTGGGGGACCCCAGCCTGTCCTGGGCATCTGAAGACAGGGAAGGCAGCAGTTAACAGTTAACAGCAGGGAACCTGGCCAGCCTGCCCTGAAGGCCTCTTGAAAGACTTCTCAGGACTAGGAAGCGGGTCCAACTGCCCCCCACCCCCTCCCCACCCCCTGAGACTCAGCCACTTAATTCAATGATTCCGATGCACAGGAACTCAACATGGCAGGCAAGTGCTAGGCTTTGGGGAACTGAAGATAAATAAGAAAAGTCCCTACCTCTCCGAGAGCTCACTGTATTGAAAAAGAAGAGGTTCTGACTGTCTTGTTCTCCTAAGATTAATGCAAGTACTCACACATCAACCTGCCCCTCACCGCTTCTGTGCTCGTCAGCCTCCCGAGCCTCTTGAGTTGGCCCTCACTGGGCCACTTTCCCCTGCTGTCCTCCCCCAGGTCCTGTGCAAGCCAGAGAGTTTGGCATGAACAACCCGGGTTGCAGTCAGAACCCAAACAGGAGAAACTGATCTATCTTCTTGGTTCTAGTCACGTACTTAGGCTATCTGGCCACACAGTCTGTTCCAGGTACCTACTGCTGAGCCACAATCTGTCCCCAAACTTAGTGGCTTTGAGCAACAATTTAATCATCCTTCCTTGGGGTTCCGTGGGGTGACTGACTGGCTCAGCTGGGCTCTTGCTGGTGGTTGCATGGCGCTGTGGTCAGATGGTGGTTGGGGATGAAGCCAGAGGAGGCCTCAATGAGGCTGGAGGCCCAAGATGCTTCCTTGCTCACATGGCAGGCAGCCATGCTGCCGACCGGGCATCCACCATGGCTCTTCATGATGCCTGGTCGTGTCACAATATGGCAGCTGAGTCCCAAGAGGAAGTGTCCCAAGCACAAGCATTCCAAGAGACTCAGGTGGAAGCTGCAAGGCTTTTTCTAACCTAGTGTGGGGACTCACAGTGTTCCTTCCCACACATTCTACTGGTGACACTGGGCCAGCCTCAAGTCTATATGGGAGGGGGCTCTAGGGATCATCTTTGGAGACCAAGAGGTCAGTGAAGGGCAGGGAGCTGACAGGGCAGCCGGAGGCGTTCCTCACACTCTGGCTCTTGACTGGCTGGGTCCTTGGAGCAGTGAGCCCCTAGGGCTGCTCTCACCACAGGGCAGAGGGCAGGGCACAACGGCTCCCTTCCCACTGCAGCCCCAGAGAGGTCTGGCTGGCTCAACACGGTCCTCTAAAACAAGACAAGTATGGTGCTGATGGGACCAGAGCTCTTGCGGCAGGCGTTTT